AAACTTCCACTGGCGACAGGTGCACCCTTCTGAGCAGCAGCAGGATTGGCAGGTTGAGATTGAGCGCCAGCCGGCGTTGAGGCATCTTGAGTGGGACCTGACGAGGGGATCGGGCCATTTCGACCTAAGTGGGGAAAGGAAAGTCAGTAAAGAGGAAAGCAAAGCTTTAGCATAGAGCTTGTAGGGCGATCTAACCATTGATACCATTTGCAGCTGCAGACTCCGGAGTCGCGCCGTTCAACTGCTGTTGACGATGTTGCGCCTGAAGTTGCTGCTGCGCGAACTGCCTTTGCTTTTGGTATACTTGCTGTCGCTGGACAGCAGCAAGTAGGTTGTGAGCTTTGAGGTATTCAGGGTCGTCGTGGCGAACACCCTGTTCCTGCATCTGCTTGAATTTCTAAGAAAAAGTTAGACGCGATCCTATTTGAATATCCAAGATCGAAAGGCATAAAAGAATAACCAAGATTCGTATCTTTCGATCCTGAGAAGGGGGAAAATACTATACCTGGAGGACTTCTTGAATATGCTGCTGCGTCAAATTTGGCGGCAGGCTCATGTTTCCAGCCGCCATATTGGGCGCTGACTGGAGTGAAGCCATATTCAAGCGCGTAGTCGATGTCTTACTTCATAAGCAGGACAAGGACGGTATTGGACGACTTGAACTACGACAAGACCCGCGACGGAATTGTGAAGAAACACGTAGGGGGAAGGGACTGGAAACAGAAAATGACAATTCGCGACGGTGGAGCGACCGAAAGCGCGAATTGGCTAATGTGTAGTAAAAGAAAACTCCTTCTGTCGATGAATGCGACTGAGAGCGACCTTTATCTAATAAGTTGCGACAGGTTTTGTGATGTTTGGCGTGGATCGGGGTGACCACCGGGCGGTAGGTGACAAAGCGAAGGCGAGCAGGAGGGTGGGGGGGAGGCTCAAGCACGATGGTGGAAGGGGAAAAAATGACTTCAAGTGAAGGGGGGTAGTTAAAAAAGGCGCGTTGAAGATCTGTATGGATGAAATGGAGATGAAGGGGACGGAAGTGTCGCGACTTTCCGTGCTGGTCGGGGAAAACTGGCGGTGCTCAGCCTGTGCCTGTAACAGAGAGAGGCAGGCGGCGAGACGTTGGAAGAAGATTTCGTGTTGTATCACGTGATCCTTGCTGATTCAGCTGCCGTCCGCTTTCAGTCTTGGCGGCAATATCCGCCACCAATCACAGTGAACGGACTTTATTTACAAGGTACAGAGAAGAATAGAGGATACCAACAGAGCGCCAACAGAATACAATTGAGGACTATTTCTATGAGCCACACCCCGATAATATCTGGTACCATCCCTTATCCCGATTGTTCAAGTCTTACTATACCGCTGTATAGTACAAGCCCGGCGTCCGGCGCCGCTGCCCTTGAGGAACAGTCCGTACAGCGATGAAACGCCTTCGGTCTCCTCGATTACGCAAAACAATTGAAAGACGAAGCTAGAAATCGCCAGTCTCTTTTGAGTGATCGACTACTTCAACGCAACGCCTTCCAGCAGCGTAGCAGTAAAAGTCGAAAAATTTTCATGAGCAGAATGAACGGAACGCCTGTGCAAAATGACTCTTGTGATAATTCGAAAGACAACCAAAGATTCCCTAACTGTGATGAAAACTGATTGCTCTTACACATCGCCCACAGACAGCATGGGCCGTTTCACAGGCGGCGGCGGAGGCGGCTTCTTTGCTCGCGAAGGCGGGGGAGGCGGAGGAGCTTTCTTGTTCAATGCCGAACTGTTCAAGGTCCCCGAGCTAGCTCTTCTGGAAATGGCATTCCCGTACGAAGGAGGGCTCGAGCGTCCCTGGTAGAACACGTCTGAATGGGAATTAACATGCGCAGTGGATTCCTCGTAAGAATCAGAATACGGATTATCTGGCATCATGCTGACAGGCCGAGGGTGTGAGCTATCTCTGCGGGAGACGAAATTTTCACTGGTCGCTCGTGATTGCCACGAAGATGAACCAGACGGCTGCAGGTGCCGCAACTGCGAAGGGCCCTCGAAAGTCGAGGTACGGTTCAAAATAGGTCGCTGGTAAGGCGTCTCCACTGGGTACGCTTCTGTCACGGGCAGAGTTGGGGGAACAGACGAAGTATGACGGTCTGACCTAATGATCGGTCGGGGACTAACCCCGTTGGTTAGCTCCTCATGCAGCGGCTCGTAGCGTTCATGATAGGAATGTGCGGTATTGGAACGGGCACGCCCGGTTCGGCGACCATTTGGCGTTTGCGATTGGAATTGGCTAGGACCCGAATCAGCTTCAAGCAAGCTCGTGCGCGAATAGTTTTGACTCACTCTGCAGGCCAATCATTTTTGATTTGGAGAAGTACTTCTCGGCACCGTTCGTGGTAATTGAGCTGCGCTTCGAGGAATGCAGCCAACTCTGCGACGCCTTCTACCTCCGCGTCCTTGATATCGTACATCCGCCTGTAAACGTCTTCGTTGGCCTCTTCGTACTTGACCTTCTGAGTACGCAATTCTTCTTCAACCCGAAAGTCCTCTTTCTTCGCTTTCTGCATCTTTGAGAGTGACGTATCGTAGGCCAATCGTCGGCTGTCAAGCTTCTTGCGGGCAGCCTGCTCGAGTCGTTAGAGGCCATGGTGTTCGTAATGGATAGACCCGTACAGAGCAAAATCGTACCTGGTATTCTTTCATCTGGGCTAGAGATCGTTCAAGGGACTCAAGATAGGTGGCAGTAGCTTGTGAGATATAGGTTTCCTGCACACGAGCAATCCGCTCCTCTGCCCTCCCAAACACTATTCGGTAGAAAAACAACGTCAGATAACCAATCGCTTGTCAAGCAGCAGGAGTAGGATGGTCGCTTACTTGTCAAACAACGGCCATATTCGGAATTGGCATCGAAATCCTCGCCATGGCTGACCATGCTGCTACCCAAATGAGCAATAGGCAGTGTTTTCTCCTTGTCATCTCCTTCGCTGCGCTTGGAGATGGACTTTAAATAAGCAATCAAGGATTTATGAATACGGTCGGCCCCTGGAGAGTGACAGATGAATAATGTCAGCAACGGGCAACATGAGAAAATCCCGTGCCATAGGAAGCAAATCTTGCCCACCTTCATGTTTCACGTTCATTTCGGTCTCCAGTGCTTTAAAGTCATCGGAGAGATTAGTCTTGACTTCACCGCCCATCCTCTCGCCTGCCCATTGCTTGAAGCGGTCGAGCTTTTTATTGACGTTCATATTGGCTGAATATGTAGTAAGTATAGGTGTAGACGAAGCGTTATGATGGAGGACACGTCGACGGGGAAACGAATGGGGGTTCCTTTTAAGTCTATGTAGGAACCGAATGCGGCGGTTGCAGATGTACAGAGGGTAGACCGTTCTGGCGATGGACTATTGCAATGAGAGATAGCAACTGGAATAGTCCAAAAGTCATGGATTGAACAATGGCGGCATTCAGTAAATTTAAGGCATATATTCACACTGAGCGAAAGGCAATAGGACTGGTTTTTGGGCAGAAGAGGAGGAGGTTGGGAAGGTAGAAATCAGGACGATTGTCCTCATGGGTGGGAATGCTTGGGAATTAATGGAGAGCAGGTCACTCGCCAGAGGGGTGAGTGAATGTTATTATCAATTTTAATCAATCCAAATAAATAAAAGTCTCTATCCCTACAATCATTATTCGTCAGGAGCAAAATATAAATATTAATTGATTTAATTACCCATAGTGGTCGAGGGATGGCATTGTGATTCTGTGACAAAAGTGCCAATCGCAGCTGTCTGAATGCGCCACCGTCCAGGTACAAACTCCGGGAGTCCAGAACAAATCAGTACCCTCCCTCCCCACCCTCCAGTTCCTTCTCTCCTCTTGGCAGCATTGTCTCATCCGGTCTCAGACATTCACACGGAGTACCTAGATGACAAGCGGAGTTGATACAGTGATACCAAAGTATGATTAATAGTGAACTCTACCTGTGATACCTTGCTATATGTGGTTCATCGACTATCATCATATTCATGGAAACAATGATTAACCATCGAACCAAACGAGTACTTAAGCTGTCGACCACCTAATAGGAGAAGGTGAGTGCATGTGGTCCATTCAGATGGGTATGATATCTGGGACTCCTGAAACCTGGTTATCTGAAACTTAGCTTCTTGGTTAGCCTGGAGTCTTGCACTGTTATTGTTAGGCTTCATTGGCCGTAATCGTATCTGTCTACAGAGTAACCTGTACTCATAGTACACGCGTTGGTGGGCCGCGCGTGGGCCGTTGTCGAGGATGACAGTCCCTTACTGGTGGATTGCAATTTCAGAAGTTCAAAAGGAGACGGAGCTTTGCCACGATACTATTTACAGAACAAATCAAGCTATCTGTATCTATACCGTACAGTACTCTAAACGCCTCACGAGGTATCAAAGGGAGAGCCAGAGACTGCAATAATGTATGGTCCAAGTCGGAAATATATTTAAAGCTGGTAGATTGGTAGACTTGAGGCGCAAAGAACTGATGGCTTAGATTGCGCGAACTCTACTATACAACATCTTCTGTAATGCATGGAAACTGGGAGCTGCAAGTCTTTAGAAGAATGAGAAATATATCTCACATTGGAGTGTGATATACATCTGCTCACTTTCACCTGATTACTCGCTGCAAAGTTAGACAGTCTGTAATGCATCCTTAAGAGAACTTAATAACAACATATCATATGCTATATGTGTCCTAACCAAGAAAGTCCATATGTATTCGTTGAATTTTAACCTATTAATAGAGTGAAGTTCACAAAGTGTATACACTGTACACCAACACATATCCTCCATCGGTCTTCCAACCTCAGCGCAAAAAAGTCATTTACCAAGCGCTCCCATGATGTCAAATGTACAAGGAATTAAAGCATACAGCATACAGCGTACAGCACACAAGAGATACTCATCTGTGCTCTCAGTTATTCACATACAGAAAGGGTCTCCTGTATATCCAGTGGGATTGGTCAAAATGAACGAGCTTGATAGCTATTTTACTTCATCTGGCCACAGAATATACTCATTTTCCGCAGCTAACACAGCATCAAATTCATTCCAAACAACAGCATCGTTGGTGGTCGAAGCACGGGAATCATTCAAAGCGCCGAATGGGTCAGGCTCGTAGCAGACGCTATCGTCACCAAGGGGCCGGTTCACATTCCAATCCTCACCTAGGCCAGAGTCAACCGAGACATTTCGATTCCGACAATCCAGAGCAGCAGCCGAGTATTGCCCCGGCGTCACGCCCATGACCTTTTTGAAAATGCGATGGAAATGACTGGGCGTCAGGTTGGCCTCGCTGGCCAGCTTCTGAAGCGTCGGTTTGCAGCCGTTTAGGACTTCCAAATTGATGGTTTCACAAGCCTTTTGTATCAACTGGACTTGTGGATTTGCCGCCCAATGCGTTTCCGGCTTGCAGCGCTTACAGGGCCTGAACCCCGCTGATTCTGCCTGTGAGGGTGTGTCGTAGAATCTGACATTGGCCCGGCGGGCAAGGCGAGCTGGACAGGATGGGCGGCAGTATATTTTTGTCGTCAGGACGGCGTAGACGAATGTATTGGCCGTTGCATCGCGGCTCACAACTGCTTGCCAACGTGCAGCAGCAGATGTGGATGGTCTAGCGGCCCTGGCCAGCGGAAGTATCTTCTGCGGGGCATCGTTTGAATCACCATGCATTTTGAGGTATCTCAGAAAACAATGAGATGAAGTGCAAGTAGAGATGCTAGTGATGATTCATGGGATTTTGCAACACTTGGTGTTGTTCATGGAATACGACAAACCCTCTCTGTGCAGCTCGCGCTGCTGATTGGTCACTTTGAGAGCAGAACCTCGTTTCCATAAGTTACCTAACAGGATCCGAATCAACTAAAAGGTAGGTATCCGACCTCCCTTATCTGTATCCAGCCAGAATCAGAATCAGTGAAACAGAACAAGTGGTCGTTTAGAAAGGAGGAATACAAGGGCTGGCTATTATATAATATCGACAAGTCTAGGACGGTGCATAACGGGAGTCGAGTGAAACTTGTCTTTATAACTCAGCTACAAAAGTTGGATGAGGTCAACTTCCGAGAATGAATGACCTCGGCGGTTGAAGTACATCTGAGAGAAGCCTAAAGAAGGCTTTTTGTCTTCCATGCTGGTAGCAATGCAGCAACAGCGGTAGTTTATTCTGAGCCATCTGCTCTGACCTGAAGGGTAAGTGTGCACACTCTAGAGGTTTGATGCCGCACGATGGCTCATCATGTTGAACACCGAATGAACGAGAAAAGGGAATTTTCCTTGATTACCACGAGGGTTCTTCCGCTCTTGCTGAGACATGTGTCATGTAATGCATCCCGAGACAGTGGATTCCAACCCATTTTTGTTCTGATCATTTTGGTCTTCATGAAAAAATTTTTGTTGGCCACAACCTTAATTCGCTAAGGACGTGTGGAAGATAATCCGCAGTCGCCTAAGTACATATGTCTCATAGCAGTAGAGCATTTTCAACCCGTCAAAAAGAACAAAACTCCGCACAAGATCACATTTAGTCCTTGGTCTTCTGGGTACCGCGGAGCAGACCAGTTCTCCGGGCAGCAATAAGACCGGCTTTTTGACCGTGGGCGGCGTAGCGAGAGATGGTAGAGGCCTTACCAATGTGCTGGTGGTTACCACCACCGTGAGGCTGTAAAGAGAATCCTTGTCAGGTATTGTTCGAGAAAAATATATATAAAATAAGTGAAGGGCAGATCTTACGTGATCAACGGGGTTCATGGCAACACCACGAGTCTTGGGCCAAGAGTTGCGCTTGACAGCGAACTTGTGCTTGGCACGAGAAGCCTCTGTAGATACTCGTTAGCAACCGACGCCCTTCAATTCTTTCCATACTAAATGAGAGTTCGGGAGTCTGAGTAACATACTGAGCAGAGGCTTGTCGGTACGACCACCACCAGCGACGATACCAACCATACCACGAGCGGTGTTCTTCACAACCTTCTTGGCACCACTGGGGAGCTTGACTCTGGTCTTGCCCTCCTCAGGGTTGTGGCCGATAACGGTAACGTAGTTTCCGGAGGTACGACCAAGAGCACCACGGTCACCAGCCTTCTCCTCGACGTTGGTAACGACGGTACCCTCAGGAACGGAGGCGAGGGGGAGGATGTTGCCGACGGTCAGGGCAGCGTTCTTTCCGGCGTAGATGAATTGACCAGTGTACATGCCCTCGTTGGCGATGAAGGTCTCGGTAACCATCTTGAACTTGTAAGGGTGACGGAACTGAACCTTAGCGAGAGGAGCACCACGGCCAGGGTCGTGGATGATCTCCTTCACAACGCCCCTGACATATCCATGGCGCTCAGCAAAGTCGAGCGTGCGGAACTGGGCAGGAGCCTTGTTGAGACGGGTGTGAGCCGCTGAAGACGGAAAAAAAAATATCAATCAGCATTTCTGGATTCTCGAGTGTAAAAGTTCCTGCAACGTCTGCGATGCAGGTTATTCATTTCATTGCGGTCGCACTCACTGAAAATGGATCCACGACCCTTCCTCTGATTACGGATCACACGACCCATGGCGACTTTCTATATGTTGAAACCTTTGGGTTAGTATTCAAAGAAAGACCGCCAGCGACCGTTGGTGGGAGTTTATCAATTTCTCGTACCTCAAATCGAAAATGGGCTTGTCGGGTTGGTGTTGAGAATTCGTCGGAGGATGGGCTGTGTGGGCTTTAGGGCGAGATCGCTAATCTAACCGAGTTGGCGCTAGCGCCATTTGGGCCCTGGCGCGGCTGTGATTTGCGCGCGGATAACGTGACGTCTTGACCTTCGTGAATATAGCCCTCAAATACAAATCATCACTTGATGCCGTTTTCCCAACTCCTGGAATAATGGACCTTCTAGGCTTGTGGTCTTCATGGCTATAGTCCTTCATTCCAGAGGAGTCTAGATGGATTGTCTAATAAAGGCTGACACCTATCCTCGATATACCAATGAAGTTTGGTACTGTCTTTACAGTTTTGCTTGGAGCAACCCTCTGGCTTAATGTGCTCGCTTAAATAATGCGTGGGCTTTCATTCGAATGGATCCAAGATGAGATGCATTTGCGCTTATTTCCTGCGACAAAATACGTGGTTCTCGGGTACAGGAGCACGCTGAGCTTCAACGACTTGGCGAATCCTGCTCCCAACCCCTCATTTATCCCTCAAACTCTTCTGGATAATATCAGATTATTGACAGTACCCTTCAGGCACAACTCTCTGTTAAGAATCGGTATTGTGCCGCAATTTTGGAGCTAATAGGCATTCCGATGGGCTTCTGTCATGGACAGGCCCAAGCAGTTGAGAGATTTGCCACGATGCATCTCAAAACTTTGAGAATCTCAGTACTTCAGAAAGTTCGTCTAGTCTTTTGACGAGAAGTCAGAATGTCTGCATCCAGTATGCTTTTTGGAGAGATGAGGATTAGATATCTTTGGAGCATGCCTGAATCGTTCTCCCTCCCGTACGTCCTCCTTGACGGTTCATCCTTCCTGTGATGGTCCGAGTGGCCCTGGTTGATCAAACTTATGATGGTCTTCAGTCGATTTTCGTCATTTTCGTTGTCTTTTCATGGAGGGTAAACCTTCCTGGCTACAGTTGATGCTCACTCCTAGGGAACGCCCCTGTGATGACGCACATAATCTGCTTCAGTGTCTCAATTCCCTAGGCTCAGTTGTATGCTTGTATGAGTGGTGCACCTAGAATCTACACATTTATAGCTATCTTTGAGTGAATTCATAAGAGATTAGAGTGTGCCTGAGCAAAAAACCTGTCACCGCCTGATATTGACTGGTACCATTCATAATGCCGGACAGTCCAGGCGCGTGGAAGCCGCGCTTCAACCGAGTAGCGTCAGTAAGGGAACTTCTTCGCGGCACGGACTTGCCCACCGTCACCTCGTCCTCGAATGCATCACGTCGAGACAGCACCCCAACCATGTCGAACATGTCTCTTTCCGACTCAGATCTCTCGTCGCTATCGTCAGCGCCTCCTTCAGAAGATGAAGTTGGTCCTATGGCTCTCGATGAGCCTGTTGGCATCACCAAGTACTTCAAGAAGGAATCCGAGTCTCCGCCGCCGAAACGGGAGCCCTCACCACCTCATGAATATGTTCTAGCTGATAATCCTGACATTGCAGTAAGTTTAGACAGTCGCTTGAGCTTACAGAAGCTCCCATCGATAGTCTGACGCGTCAAACTATTCGCTACAGCCTCTTTGCTAACTTGTCGCAACTTTATAGTTTATTGTGATGTTCCGCGCGCGTTTTCATGAGGTCTTCCCGCGATCGACGCCACACTTTGGACCCCAGGATATCGAGAGAGGTGTCGTGGAACTTCCACCAGGCGATTATATTGAGAGGCTTCTGTGTGCATTGCTCGGTCTCGTGCTGAATCGGAAGAAGGATGTTGAGTATGTGCACCTGGTCCCTATACCATCACATGGCTACCGCACCATTTATTCCTTATGCTCGTGCAAGGCTTTTGCGACCAGATAGCTAACTATTTCACGCTGATCCATAGCCGAGCCCACTACCAGCGACCACTTGAAGAGGCGATTCAAACACATGCCTCCCAATGGCCCAAGGCTTGGCAAGGAAAGAACCCCCTTCATGGGGGTCGCACCTTTGCAACAATGTCACCCGAAGAACGCGTATGCCAATGCGATGCGGATATTTCATTACAAGTCCAAGGCACTGATAGTTTGAATAGTTGACCTTGTTGAAGTCGCTGATTCTCTGGTCCCTTTCTTCGTCTGAAGCCGTTCAAGCCAAGATTAAAGAATCCTACAAGCAAGCCCGCCATGAGGACGATCTGAACCAACCGCTTTCAGTCCAACCATGGGGCCGTGACAGCCTGAAGCGTCGGTACTGGCTGGTCGAGGGTTTGGATGATACGCATTTCAGGTTATATCGCGAGAGCAACCCGGCCCTTAAGAACGTTACGTGGTGGAGTGTAGCTGGGAGCATACCCGAGTTGAAGGCAGTCGCAGACAAGCTGGATGTGGAGAAGAGTATACATGCGAAGAAGCTCAGTGAGCGGATCAAGAATGCCATACCTCGTTTTGAGGGCTCAGAGGAGGTACGCTGCTATCACCGCCCGTGCTCTAACCCTTTTTATTGACATCCTGCAAGAAACGCAAAAGACGGGATTATCGCATTGCCCGCAAAGCCGCCTTCACTCGACCGGAGCCTGGGTTTTCACTGTACGAAGGCCGGACTCGTGGCAAGAAGCTCAAGTACACATATTCAGATGACGAGGATATCTTTTCCGACGAGTTCCCCTCAACAAGACGATCGACACGGAACGCTTCCGGAATTTCAACACCTGCAGAACCTGCGGGGCCCAGATATACAGCAAGTGGTAGGCAGATACGCGCACGAGCGGGTGGCCTGTACGGTGAGAGCCTCCTTAGTGGCCAGCGCGGCGAGGAAGCCGAAGAAACCGGTAGACCGCAAAGGTCTCGGGCGACTCGCGCAAATGGCTATACGGACTACAACATGGACGATGAGTCGGACGCTGGTCACTCCAGTGGAAATGAGTGGCAGGGTGGCGCGGAAGAGGAAGACAATGATTTCGAAGGCGACGATGAAGGCGACTTGAGTGGAGACGAGTCGGTCATAAACGGACAAGATCGGAGTCTGGTGGTGCAGTTGAGATACGGCAAGGGAAAACTACCAAGCAGCCCTCACGAGCCTGTCGAGGAGCCGTCAGCAGAGAAACTTCAAAGTGCGGATGCAGACACAGCAGACACAGCAGACCCGTCAACGGCCCCTGAAACTCAGCCTATGAGTCAAGTGCTGGACTCTGAGACCAACAGACAGACAGAGGCGCAAGCCCCGACTGTGGATGTCGGGAAAATGCCCAGCATTGTGCCGACGAACACAGCTATTTATGAGCAGAAGGTCCATCCGCTGAATGAGCTTAACGGTCAACAGCGAGAGACGCGTGACGGTGCTGAACAGCCTTCCGGAACCGACTTGTCGCGAAATCAAATAGCTCCCATGAACGCTCCAAATGAGACGGGTTGAGAATTTCGTGAATCACGGCTACTCCAAGTTTCTTACCAAAAGCGATGTCTTCACCTGACACTCGAATAGTGTCCTGTGGCGCAGTGTTGCCACTTCCGAAAACAATTATTACGAATTCAGGCAAAACAGGAGTTTGTTTCCATCGAGAGTTTGTCAGGCTGTTGTTGAGCGGTATGTTCACTTCCCAAGGTCCATCTGACCTGGAGTTCGCAATGGTTTTTATAGCAGGATGATTTTATATGAGGCTCAGGGGACATGTCACACCTAGCCCAGAACTCGGCCGCTGATCCAGTCGCAAGGACTACTGCTGATTCAACACGTACCTACGCTAAATGTATATTATTTTTGACGCGGAATGAGACGCATCAAAAGCTTAGACGAGAATCGCGAAGTATGGTTTGACTTTTTGCTTGCATATTGATTACGCTATGCAATATGAAGTCATTGACAACGAAGAAGAAAAGAACGCCAAAGCCCTAACTCCAATAATGCAATGCGAGTCTGCGTCCCAATATTGGAATGTGATGCAGAGAGACCTTAATCTGCACCCGCATTCGAAAATTGCGCCGTGTAGAACTGTAAGAACTCCGAGAACGTCAGCTGCAGATCGACTTGATTCTTGAACCATATCTCAGAAATAGGTATATTCTTGCGTCAATGTCTCGCTTGACCACATTAAAAGATGTGCACTTACGTCTTCGACCTTGGAAGCAAGTCGAGGGTCTTTTGTTGTACGCAGGGGAGGAAGCTTCCAATTATTGACTTCGTACCACCACCTTCGTAGTCTGCTACCGAGAGTCTGACCGCTGAGAGAAGCTGTGCGGTTCCAGTAACGCCAGCCAGAAAGCGCAAGAGTCCAAAGAGTACCCTGGATGAGTGGTAGAAGAACCTAATATTTGCGACCCATTTCATCAGCATTCCAGCGTTTCAATTCATACAGCGACAGCAAGGTCTCTCAACGCATAGTCGAGTATCCGTACCTGGTCCCGAATGGTAATCCACGCAACTCGTCCCCATGTGTCGGCACCTCGCAAGCTGGCGAGATAGCTCTGTTCAAACCGCAGATCGGGTAAAGGAGGAAGAGTATGACGGCGTGGAACGGGCCTAACCATGCGACTGGGATCAACAATATCAGAAGGGATGCTGTCAGCTTCGGAGGAAGAGCGTCGTGCCACTGGTCGCTTCTCCGAGGCGGCGGTTGGAGGATTGATGTCGTGTCTCGGGGATGGATCCCGCTTGATTGAGGCGGTTTGGATGGTTTCTGCCAGTTCTAAAGCCGGGTCGGCCATTTTTTGAGAGGTTTGAAGACGCTATATAACGAGTATTCCGAGTGAGTTTGTGGATGTCGCTTATCGGGGATTGTTCTCGTGTAGGTACACCGGACTTTGGAGGTTATCCAGTCTCCTGACGCAACAAATCATAAGGATCGCCTGGACGGGTAACTTGGCCGCCGGCGGCCGATCTCACCACGGTAAACCTTTCCTGCCCCTCCTCAAAACACCCCGCCTAGGGTATTATTATTATTATTAGTGCTCCTCCTTCTCTTCTTCTCTTTCTTACTCCTTGTCACTCCGCTTCCTCCATTGTCCTTTTAAACATATCATATCGTCAATTGCAACAGGAAAAATGGCCGCTGCTCAGGGATACCCTTTGCTGTGCTTGGAGAACCCTCTTCTAGGTGCGTGTTATCACATCTCCGACAACGGACACAACTATGTAACGGACGTTGATTTGAGTATGCTGACTTTGAAGGGTCTTAGATATCCAAGCCGTCGGGTACGTCACTGATGGATGACATCGAAAAGTCTAAACCAATTGGATATCAACTGATTGAAACTTGCACAGTGATGCCGCTCTTCTGGAAAAGTACGGTCTTAAGGCCAACGATGCCATCCTTGCAGAGGAGAAGCACATGGGACTCTACGATGAGCTCCTTAGCCGTGATGCTAAGTTAATTGCTGGTGGCGCTGCACAGAACACCGCCCGCGGTGCCCAGGTATGCGGTGTAGATCACCTTTTTTCAATCTGACGCCACTGCTGATCGAGGATATAACCCAACAGTACATGCTCCCCGAGAACTCCGTCATGTACATTGGCTGTGTCGGTAAGGACAAGTACGCGGATATCCTCAAGGAGGCCTGCAACCAGGCTGGTGTCCATACTGAGTATCGTGTGGACGATGTCCAGCCCACCGGCAAGTGCGGCGTCGTTATCACTGGTCACAACCGTAGCATGTGCACTCACCTCGCCGCGGCAAACGAGTACAAGATTGATCACTTGAAGCAGCCTCAAGTCTGGTCTCTTGTCGAGAAGGCTCAGTACTACTATGTTGGTGGATACCACCTGACAGTCTGCGTCCCTGCCGTTTTGGCCCTTGCCGAGGAGGCTGCTGCCAAGAACAAGGTGAGCAAGATGCCCTTCCTTCTGCATTCTGCTCGATTGAGGTTGACGTTTTGCGATTCAGGTCTTCATGCTTTCTCTTTCCGCCCCCTTCATTCCTCAGTTCTTCAAGGACCAGCTTGACAGTGTCATGCCCTACACCGACTACACTTTCTGCAACGAAACAGAGGCTCGCGCCTACTCCGAGAGCCACGAATGGGGTACGGATGATGTCGTCGAGATTGCGAAGAAGCTCGCTCAGCTTCCCAAGAAGAACACTAGCCGTCCCAGAGTTGCTATTGTCACCCAAGGCACTCTGCCCACGGTTACTGCTACCATCAAGCCAGACGGTGAGGTTGAGGTCAAGGAGTTCCCTGTGCACGAGATCCCCAAGAGCAGCATCAACGACACCACCGGCGCTGGGTAAGTCGTCATCTGTCATTCTGCTAATGGTCAACGGAAAATTTGTGCTGACGGGTGTTGTTTGTAGTGATGCGTTCGCTGGCGGTTTCTGCGCCGGTGTTGTTCTGAACAAATCTTTTGAGGAGAGCATGGATATGGGCCAGTGGCTCGCTAGCCTGAGCATTCAAGAGCTGGGACCTTCGTAAGTTTCTCTTTCATCTTTCTGTTGTACCGAGGTCCTTGTCGAAAGTGGGCCATATTTTCGAGAGCCCGCGTCCGTTCACAACTGCGTCCAGTTTCATTGCTGGTGGACAACGGTGCAAGAATCATTTGAACGAATGATGACTAACATCATGACTTTGCCATATAGTTTCCCCTTCCCCAAGAAGACCTACACCAGCCGCTCATAGAATACCAACCACTTATTATATGGACGCCCAGCAAGCCATAAGGGGCTATTGCGAGCTTGCAGCATAAAAATATTCCTGGATGATTCAACCCTCTATACCCAGTTGTCCTTGACTTAACGTCTTAGACTTTTTTTCTTTTTTTCCTTTCCCCCCCCCTCTTTTGAAGACCACTTCCTCCAAAGATTGCGTACAACACTGCGCAGGTTTACGAGTTAGGGTACCGTTAATACGTGGAAGCCGCAGGCTGGTGACGTTCTCAACAACGATGTAATGAACGAATCTTTCGGTCTCATATATACTCAAAATTCAAGAAATAGAAACGAGCCATAAATTCAAGTCCCTTGTTTTGACCTCGACGTGACAGAAATTTGACGATATTCGCATTGGAATTTCAAATAGCTCTCTCCTAACAAACGGCAAAGTGGAAGCTGTCCATTTTCCACAATTTTGAAAGCACCCGAAGAAAGTACAAAGGATAGCATGGCTCGTTATTATTCTAAGAAGTAGCCGTCTCCATCAGCATGAAAAAGTACCAAAGGTCTACCCTGAAGTCAACTGTCTGATTCTCAGCAGATCCGACGTTTCGGTCCCATCGACGGGAGGGCCTCACCACCATTGTTGGAAGGTGGGATAGAAGATTAATTGCATGTAGTCAGCTTGTGTGAGATAACAGCAACAGTCGCGATCGGAGCTGCTCAATAGCCGACAAACAGTCCGAGCATTTTACCGGAGCTAGACTGAGGGAGAAAACAGTGCACATGATCGTGAGCAAGGTTGTCGCTTTGCTCTCCGAATCAGAACCGGACGATCCGCCCGTCCCGGATTGAACGATGCTTGAGAGGGCTGTGATCGCGTCCCGCGGCTACTGGTCTTGTTGTCAATTCACAAACCAATGGGTCTCGTGTGAATCACCCGCCCTGGCCGTAAGATGGAGTCTGCCCGATAGCACCGAAATGTGAAGCAGATCGACGATTGCTGGGACCAGAACTTGGGAAGCCCGCTCCGGAGGATAATGTACTAGCCAGGAACGCATCGTTGGCCCATGATGCATTTGCTAAGCCACTTGACATGGGCTGGCTTGGTACTCCGAGAGAAGGAGGGGAAGCCGCTCTTCCCAGAGGGCTTCTATCCCAGCCTGTTCCCGAAAGACCATGATAAGCTGCAGGAGTTGAAGAAGACATCCAAGGGGACATTGAGCTTGACCCGCCAAGAAGGTCGTGCATTGAGGTTTGTCCAACGAGGCTTTTCCGGAAGATGGGCTCGTTTGTGGTCATATCAGGGGATGCATGGTGAGGGTCTGGGCTTCTGGTGTCTGCTGTATTGGCTTGACCTGGATGTTGTCCCAAGCCTGGAGGCGTCCTTGGAGCCGAGGATCCACCAATGTCAGGTGACAGTCCGCTGCTCCAAATACTCGGAATACCGGGAAGGGTAGGACGAGAAGTGTAGGACTGGGACAGTGGAGCTGCTGACCCAGCTGTGGGGTTTGGCATTGAGAGCTGGAGGCCAGGAGGAGCAATCGGAGGATAGCGAACAGCGGCATCTGTCTCGCGAAGGCTCGAATTGAGGCCAGATTCGAAGAAATTGCTAGGTATTGATTGGTGATTGGTGTTTCGAGGGAAAGCCAGCTGGTCCGGAAGTGCGGGAGCGTTTTCGTACGTGTCCGACTCAACCAGTCGTTCGACCCCTTCGACAATGCGATGCATATTAGCGGACATTGAAGCAGAGGCAGATTGCGAACCGCCAAAAGTGCTCCTTGAATCCGCAACGTAATTTGCGTCCTTAGTGGCCTGCTGAACATCCTCTCGTTCAACGCTCGCCGTGGAGAGCGTGTTATGATGCCCGGAGGGGCTGGCGAAGAACTGGGAAGGAAGGCCCTCTTCTTTGTAGATAAAGGTCTTCTTATCCTCATCATCCACAAGGGCTATAGGAATTCTCTGAGATCGCAAACAGTATCAGTAAGTAATCGAATGATACAAAAGAACCAACAGGACACTTCGTACGTTGCTCACAACTAGATCAAGACCGTCAATCACGAATTCACGGATCCGGTACAGCATCTCAATGTTTGGATGACTTCTTTCGACTCCAACATCGGTCATTCGGGGCTTCTGCTGGCCAGTAGCACTCAAATAGCGACGGGACGCGGCGTCTTTGTCGAGCGGCGCAAACCCCAGAGTCTCCTCATCTTCTTCCAAGAGGTAGTCGATTTCCGGAAGATGAACAACGTCGAAAGTTGATGCGAGGAGGCTCAACGTATTGGCATAGATCTTCCAAAACTCCGTAATTTGAACAGCGAGAGGGGTATCCTTCTCTTCCTTATGTGCCACCAGTGAATGATTGACGATAAGGAGCCAAGAACTATAATGTCGTAGAGCAGGTAGTACGCGGCGCGCAACAGCGGTGACCTTGTCCGGTCCGCTCTTCGCGTCTTTGCTGAGCGAGTCTTCGACGGCAAACCTCTCCAGCTCTGCTAGAAGGATTTGGAGCAGCGTGAAAAATGTCTTAACGTTGATGCGCTGAAAAAATAGCCGTGAATTGGACACTGACTCTTCTGAATCCATCAACAACAATCTCAGTAAATGCGACGTGAGGGGCCTTACCATCGGGCTGCGTCCACGAGAAGTCCTCTGCTGCGATGTTAATGAGGCAGAACTTTTGAAGCGTCCCTTCAAGTGAGCGCTCCTTCAAGTCAACGGCTAGCTGGTTCAGAACTTCACTCTCAAGCTCATCATGCTCGGGAAAATCATTTCCTTTGTAGCATTGGGCGTGAAGATAAACGAACCAAGGGGCCAACGCTCGCCCCGGAATCCCTGCATCCTCGGGACGAATTAACTCTCTTTTACGCCAAGCATGGCGCACCTTTCTGAATTCTATCTCCAAATTACCCTTGGCAGATGGATGAGGCTCCTGGGCAGCTAGGGCTCGGTATAGGTGGTAAGTGGCCCGCAAGTGATTGCCGTCAGCGAGGGCTATTACTGCCAACTGGTTGTGCGATGCGCCTGAAGCAGGATAGATGGCTATAGCCAAGTCATAGTAGCCAATAGCGGGACCCCAATTGCGGTCCTTGCTCACCAGTTCGGTCTCGCGGTAACGCGACAGATCGCCAAGACGGATAAGTGTTGAATGGCATGATTGAAGGACACATGCACGGAGAGCGTCAGAAGCCTCGACTGGAGGCTGCGCCGATAAATCTAGGTAGGTAACAAGACTTGTCTCAATGAACGCCCTGGAAATTGACGGGGACGACGTTGCTCACTGTCAAAGTTGAACTTCCGCGCAACTTTTTCAAGCTCCGGGATACCTCCGAAGTGCGACGACAACTGCTGTATATATCCTCGATAAAATCTCTGGCTAGATTTGATAAAGTCAAGGTAATGCTTTTCGAGTTTGCGTCTTTCTACCGGCTTCTTCTTTGCATTCTCCTCGCGAAACTATGATACAAGCCACAATTAGTTAGTGGACCGCCTGCGCAATGTTATACAAAAAAAATTTGTGACACTCACGCGGGAGAGTAATTTGCGAAACCGGGTGTTAATTTTAACATGTGCATCCCAGAGTCGGGTTTCAACATCGATAGAGCGAGATGTTTCAAAGTCTTGGATTATGGCATTCTGACAAGCGGCGCGAAACCTGCGACGGACAGTCAGATCGATGTGTGCGCAAAGAAAACAAGCCAGCCTCAGTTTATGGACTCACTCGGAAAGGTAATGCGAGATTTCGGTAAACGTAGGCTCCTTCTCGGCAAGGCTCTTTAGAAGCTTCCCTTCGGCTTCAAGCGCAGTTCTATAGTGATGCGAATCAGACATGTGCCATTCTGTTGCATCGGAAAGTAAGTGAAGTACTAACTGCCACGCATTTTGAAACGCGGACGCCATGCTCAGGGTGGGCTTGATCGTGTTGTATCACTCCACCCTTGACTTCGCCCGTCAGATGGCTATGGCTGGCTGAGAGTCTGCGGGCGACGAAAGTAGTGAACGATCCATCAGTAGTATGGCGATTGGGCGCTAAAGAAGACGAATAGCCGGAATTGCAGAACAGTCTGCTGGGGTATCGGTCAGGAAGATGTGACGACAAAGTAAGCTGCGCGAAGATGGATGACGAGGGGTTGAGGCCACCGCTTATGGGAATGCAAATCCCATATCACGGCAACTTTTTGGATGCCCGTCTGCAAAAAAGAAATAATGAGGGATGGAGAGTGGAGTGGAGGAGTCGCAATAGGCACTGTTCCTGTGGCTTGCAGCGCATTGATTGGTCTGTGTCTCTGTGGCTGGTGTATTTATGCATGCATTGTTTAGCTGGTAAGTAATCGGCTTACATCCCTGTATGTAAGATACAGTTAATGCCATCATCCACAAGTTCATATCAACTAGAAGAATCAATCGGTCCCCTCATGTAGTTGTTATAGTAGTTCTTTTTTCACTCTCAATCTGAAAACATATACTCTAGGTAAACCACAACCAAGAGACCACAATGAAAGAATTTCTCGTTTCAACCAAGCGCAGCAAGCAATACCACTGAGCACTGCAGGAGTTCTCTCCCACCGTCCCAGTCTGCATCTCTCTCCACCAACCAGACGACACTATTGACCCTAGAAATTAAAAGGAGAACAGCCAACTCAGAGCCGGAAAGCCTTAAAACATGTCTAAACGCCCTCGCGTCTCAAGGGCCCCCTCACCGGGTCAATCACCTGAGACCTGGTCAAGGTCACCGTCCCCAGCATATTCAGCGCCATCTTGCGAACGTTCCAAGATACTCTTGCAAGACACGGACGAGCCTGCTGTCGAAGTGATGCATTGTTCACTTCCTCCCCATAGGGACGTCATTTTCTTCTCCTCCTATGAAGATTATGAAGTACACTATTTACAAACGCACGTCAACAGATGTTCAGAGTGTGGGAAGAATTTCCCTACAGATCGATTCCTGAATCTGCATATCGAGGAGAATCATGATCCACTCGTTGCTGCGAAGAGAGACAAGGGAGAGAAAACGGTTCGTCAGCCCTGTGAACATTGTTTTCTGAATCAATTACTGTGTTAACAAGGATCACGGCTAACGGGAGCCCCTGCGATGCAGTACAGTTGCTTCGTCGAGGATTGCGACAGGAAATGCTCTACGCCTCAAAAGCGACGGATGCACTTGATTGATAAACATATGTTCCCAAAGGTATTTTCCTTTTACGATCGCGATTTCTCATTGTAACTAATAACTAAGTCGCAGACGTACAATTTCTACATCGTCAACGACGGTATCGATAAGCAAATATCTATGCTGAGATCACCAAATACACACAGACGACGCATATCGGCTACCGCGCCATCACTGCAGGAAGGAAGGCTGAGAAACCGAAAGACATCCGAATCGCACTCACCTGCGGTCTCTCATGAAGTGTCCAAACAAAGCGTGCGACATGTAAGTCGGGAGGAAATGGAAATCACTCAACTAGAGGAGTCCTTGTCCGCGTTGCGATTTGTCCCGGCAAGTGTTAGTAGAAATCAGAGGAAAACCGGGAGTAAGCCTGACTAAATCCATGTAACAATACTTTATTCCACTGTTAGACTAATGCAAAAATACATCATGGAAACGACTCAGCATCTCAAGGTTGCGCAACACGGACATAAGTGTAATGAAGGCAAGCGAGAGTATACCAAATAGTCTTCTCCTCCCGTTAAAGACATACAAGTATGTTGACGACATTCTGACCGCTGGGACTGATAACGACAACACAAATCGACCGCTCGACGCAGCGAGAACGCCAGTATAGACGACACCTTTCGGATCTTCTCTCGTTCTCTGGAGCCTCCCCAATCCCCTTTTTAGCAGCAATGACAAGCTGCTCCGGGGCTATGGCCAGAAAAGACTGGAAAGCCACGACCGCATCTTCACCGTGTATGAGCATCCTGACTAATTTATACAAGACCCAAACCAGGTGGTGAAAGGAAAAAGTACCAAGAACAAAGGCCTCAAGCACAAAAATAGAAACATAATAGATGAGGGATTAATTCATAGACGCGGGTATATAGCAACATCACATATCATCCATGTCGATGAGACTGAAAGCATCAATGATTCACAGGCCAGTGAGCCGCGATGGAAATAACGATTCTGTTCACTTTGCAGTCAACAAGGTAGGGTACCCTAACAAGTTCGGAGAACAAATAGGGCGCTTGCAATGCTCCTTCTTCGCAGGGGAATGGGTTTCTTCAGCGGGCAGATCGTCTGTCGGAGTCTGGAAGGCTGCATGCGGACCGGTTCCAAAACGGACGGACAAACGTATTCCGGAAGTCATAGCTGATTTTCTAAGACATCAGCATAAGCATCCAAGCTTGACCCAACCAAATCAACTATCGCCCAACTTGTGTTTCCCTTGAAGGTCCTTGCCCAGACCCGAACAATAGCGACGCTTAGTTGTTTGGCCTTGTAAGGATTAGCCATAAATTCCATATCGGGCGCCCCTGGCGGGTCAACTGCCATGTCAGTCTCGTCCATCATGCTCTTGATCCACAAAAGTAATTTTCTTTCATGGTCTGACAACCTCTGCTCCGAGTGCGTAGCTGGTATTGAGAGTAGCCATCGGCTCAAGAGAAAAGCGCATTCCAAACTGCAAAGGGAATGCTGAATACTCCAGAAGAACGAATGGGTTCTCGCCACAAAGTCGATTCCGAGACGTACGGGGATGGACAGTGCATGGGCAGAATGCAGTAAGGCCATAATGAGACGTGGGCTCCTTGCTATGGGCGGGGACTCGCTTAAGGCCCTGGCAATCTGAACTGGGTCTTGAGTGATCAAACGACGGCAAGGGCCCAAGTCAACATGCAATCTGATGTAAGCGAGACCTAGAAGGGCAGTAGAGGTGAACGCAATCGGCCCTGCTGGATTCTGAGGATCAATGCTGGATTCTGGAGTGCGTTTCCATAATGCCTTCCAAGCGCTCAGAGAGTTGTCTAAAACAGCCAAGTCATCGGGTCTGAGACTTGTGCCTTGCATAGTGGGCGCAGATAGACACAGTTGACGCGCGAAAAAGATTTGCTGTATAATAGCGTGTATAAGGATATAGTTTCCGAGGGGCGAGATTGGTGCCGAAGAGTTCGAGATGCTCGACTTTAAGAACAGTTTGGCGAATGCCTCCTGGAAAGGAACATCCACCCCAGGCCGGGTGCGACTGAGCCGTCTCCACTGAGTCGCATTGCTCGCTTTCCAGACGTCGTGAGAGCATGGCATGTTTAATTTCAACTCCGCGTTCAGGATCAGAGGGGGGATGTTGTACATGATGGAGTGTAGATTGAAAAAGCAGTAGACGATGAGCTTTGTGCGTCTGTTGCCCTCTCTCCGTATCCACTCCTCCCAGCTGTTTGGGTCAGGACTGGTCGCTGGTTCGGAGAGTCCATGCTCTCGAACGAGCCTTGCCAACGTGCTTTGCAACGATAAAATTTCCCGAAGGAGTTCGGGATGTCTTTCCCAAGATGCAAAAACCGTGAGTAGCAAGAATGTGCGAATCACTTCCATATGAGCATCCGAATCATCTGATACATAGATTGAGGGATCGACAGGATGCGGCATAGACTGCTGCTGTTGCTGGAAGGGGCTACTAGCATGATTCGACATGGCCGACGAGCCGCGCGAGTTGTGGAATCCCGAACCGGGAGAATAAAAATTCCATGTCGGGCATGGCACTTGCTTGCTGTCTCTTCTTCGGAGGCGCTCGAGCAGTATTGTTTTTGCTGCGTGAAACAGGTCAATTCCTCGATTGTTTTCGAATCGATAATGCGACCCTGCTGCCGCTAGTGCGAGTGTCAGCTCAGGAGAGCATTTGGCAACCGAAAGTGTTGGGACATGAATAAAAGGAAGATGCTCATTCAGTCCGTTGATATAGCCAGCAAAGAAGCGAGACAGAGCGTGTCTTGATGGAGGTACAAAGCCCTTCGGGAGAATATAAGCAAACTCCTCAAGTTTGGAAACGAAGACCTGGCGGTCAGCGTTTGAGATATCCCATGCCGGACGTGGACCATCGTCGCCGAAACCTAGTCGATCATCCACTTCGTGGGATTCGGGTTGCAGTGAAGGTAAACGAGATCCAAAATTTGAGAACGACGGAGGATCGTCGGCCGAGCGCGGGTCATTCATGATTTCTGTACCTAGCCTGGACGTTTCACGAAGAGATGGCTTGGAGTCAATCGAGAGAGTAGTTGGCAGCATGGGTTCCTCGACAGTGGAAAACACTCCTGAGTCCCAGTCGGACGAGAGACCAACGCTTTCTAGAAAGACAGTGAAGTCCTGGACCGGATCACCTAAGTCAGTGAGATCAAGGATCGACGGTTCAAGCCCGTAATTTTCGGTGATTGGCCTGTCCGTGACATGAGGGATTGGCTGAGGAGGGCCGACGGTATGTGAAGGCTTTCGCATCGACTCAAGAGCTTCCTGTTGGCCTTCAAGAGCTACATGGCTGGCAGCATGAGACAGGAGATTCAGATCATATCCCCATGAGGGGTTGAAATGCGTTGTCTCTATTATCGGTGCTGGCTGGACATGGACCTCAGGCGGAGGCGGCGGGATCGGCTGTGGCTGGACTGGTATTGCATCTGCAAGCTCGAGCATTCGCGACTCATGATGGGCCGTCTGTATCATAGAGGATGGCGTCGAAGGCACCTCATGGTTACTGTGGTTTCGATGTTCTCGATTGGCCGCAGCCTCGGCGGGATGGACTAAGCGCTCATGTCGTACAAGTAGGTCGCTACAGAGTTTTCCCTCATATTGTTAGCGCCAGTCGAGACCTATGCAACGTAAGGTAACAGCCTACCTCCTTGCAAACGATTTGGAGCATATGTCACATGAGAACGGTTTTTCCTTCGTGTCTACGATAATGGATTAGCATTTCCGT